TTTATGTTGAATAAATTTTTTTTGATTGGATTTGATTTGATTTGACTGACGCGACAGCTAAAATGGCGCATTCTTCTGTTTTGAAATACGAATTCGAAATTCCCTATAATGGAATGACTTTGCGGAACATAACCAACGGTTTAATCTTTGTCCAAAGATTCCGCACTTCTAAAACTGTAAAATGATATCACAAGAATATTATACCTTTCAATACTTGCATAGTCTGATTTTGTGAGAAAATACGAGGAAGAAATTAGATAAACATCAGCATAAGGGTCTGCAGCAAAAGAAGATTTTGGGGAACTAGCAAATATATAGTTTACCGCCAATAAAATTATTCTATGAATTTCGCGTGTCAATCATAGTTTTACATTATAACTAACAATATATTTTTGCTGTCTAAGAATTTAAATAAAACTAATACTAGGACACTTTGAAAATTGATCCTCTGCTTAACTTCACTTACTGGTGGTAGGACCTCTTGTGAGTCCGCACAGGTGGGTACAACCAGCCTGGCTATTTCTGCCGTGAAACAGTAATGCGTTTCGGTATGAAGGGTGAGGCAGCCGTTGTAACTTTACTTGAGACCTTAGAACTTATATCTCAAGGTGGGTGGCGCATTTAAGTTATAGATGTCTATGGGCTCCAGTAACCACTTAACACCAGGTGGGCTGTGAGCTCGTCCACCCATCTAAGCAATAAAAGAAAAACTGTGATGTAGTGCTGTGATCGATTCGTAGACGCGCAGTGGTTCAGGCAGCGCGCAAATCGGAGATTCACATGTACAAAACGTATAGACAAATAATATACCCTCGAATTTACTACATAAATCGATGTAGATTATTTGAATACAAATAATTCACAATAGATCAATTGTTTCTCCCGTTCCCCATCACTAAATATCGTTTGAGGCGTTCCCCTTGCAAACGGCTCACCGCAGCAACTATAGCTCATAATGCAACGTCCTGTTGTGGGATAGGCAGCGATTGATTGTTTTCCGGGTGTGTTAGTACTTACATCAATCAGAACGCCCTTTGACCGATTGCAATTTACTATGAAGCTGATTATACTTCATTGCGCTCTAAAAGTACACAAAGCAATATTTTTTATGGTCGTCTAGAGTGACGTAGCTAGTTAAAATAAATTGTAAAGTTTTTTTCTCAAAATGTAATATAATTTTTGAATGTCATAGTAAACTCCTCCACTGATTCCACTCCACGGGCACAAAACATTGAAAACTTTCCCCTTTAAAATAAGTAAATTGTACCAGTGCTATTATAAAAACGGGCCGTAGCATCAAACACAATAAGAAAACCACGCGGTACAGTCGCTTCAAACAACACCTTTTTTTTTTATTGCTTAGTTGGATGGACGAGCTCACAGGCCACCTGTTGTTAAGTGGTTACTGGAGCCCATAGACATCTACAACGTAAATGCGCCACCCAAATAAATAGTAGATAAAAAATCAGATAAAAGACAAGACGAAGAAACTTTTTTCCAGACTATCACGCAACTGTAAATAATATTTGATTTGAGCGACATGAATGACAAAAATAAAACACAAAAAGCATCCACGGTCGTTCAGTTTTTCAGAGAGAGAGAGAGAGAGCACAGAAAAAATACAGATTTTAAGACCCTTTAAGATTTACTCGGATTAAAAGCCCCGTTAGTCCTTTGATTCTGTATCTGCGACTGTCGTACTTAATAGGTATAATTAACTTTTTATGTTTTTTTTTCTTCCTCTTTATATTCTTCCTTTTAATGTAATCCGTGGAATAGCGAAATGAAAGGCCCACCCAGCTTTTGATCTCGCGGGCTTGTAAAACCAATCATGCAGCATTATTTCCCTTTTAAGTTGAATTCTGTTTCCAATGGAGTCTCCTTGTGTTCTTTGATAAAACTATTTAAATTGTAGCGTTTTTAAATTATTATTTTCATTCGTTCATTCACCTTTGTCACAATTAGTACCTTGCCAGATAGCAGTAGTTAATCAGTGAATTAAAACCAAAGTAATTAGTGTAAAAAAGTGACCTACAAGAAGCATTCCAAAATTAGATGAACTCGCTTCAAAACATTTTACTATTAAAATATAAAATGAAAAGAAACAAAATCTAATATTTTTCATTCGTAAGAAATACCAAAAACGTCAAAGGAAGCCTAATAAGGAAGCTATTAAGTTACTCGAAGATATCAAAGGACATCGCAGTCAAAGTGATTTTACTATTTACCGCTAAAAACGAAAACGGCATTAATACTCGTGACGAACGCAGATGGAACCGCCCCGAAATCCTCGTCGCATTACCGAGGCTCGGACTTGGAAAATTCAATTAGTGTAATAACAACGCACAGTTCCATTATGCCAATCAAAGGGAAACGAAAAGTTTGTACACATCAAAGAGTCGCTTAGCGCGTGGTCTGTCTCTCTCTCTCTCTCCCTCTCTCTCCACGTCTCCCTCTCTCCCCTTTGATACTGATTGCGGATATTGTAACATTGGTACTTGTAAATTTACTTGCATTGCTAGACTAATTTCGTTTCGTATTTAATCTAATGTTTGAAGAGGTTTCGACCGACCACAAAAGGATAGGCTATTGCATTCAAAACTATATGTCAAGGGTGGATAGAAAGAGACACCATATGTATAAATATTCCTAAACACATGTTTGTTTCTCTCGTCGCAATACTTGATATAAAATTCACCGTCAATGTTCCTATGAATGCAATTTAATCTTTTAATTAAATTTTTATAATTAGTGAATCGTCATCTTAGTATGTGTATTTGGTTATAACATGACAACGGTATGTGTGCCAATGATCTAGTCTGATATTGAACTGCGAAGTATCTGTATTAATTCGATGTGCTTTAACGAAATATTACTAGTAAATTCGGCGGCTTTTTTTAAATATGAAATATAAAATTTTTTGAGTATGCGCTAGTGTACATCAATATAAAATCAAAACCAATGCAGAACATTTAATATGAAAAGTACAACGGGCGGTCTTATCGCTTAGAGCGATCTCTTCCACACAACCATCAAGTGGACAAGAAACATCTAAGTAAATAAATTAACCGCGGTGTACTAACTGATTGGAAAAAAAGATTTTTATTTTTAAATATCAATAATATAATGATAATACATTCATAATAATTAATAAACATAAAATTAATAAAACATTTATAAGTTCAAAAATCACATTACACAAAAATAAATAACTATGATAAAATAAATGTTAAGGTATATAAAAGGAACACTAATCAAACATTTTACAAAAAAATATTTAATGACAACTTAATCAGTTAAATAAAGCTTCTTAATCAATCGTTTGAAGGATTTTTATAATGTTCGTTATTCTCCACTAAACGCTCTGTAAATAAGTTATCATATTTTTTTTTTTACTGCTTACATGGGTGGACGAGCTCACGGCCCACCTGATGTTAAGTGATTACCGGAGCCCATAGACATCTACAACGTAAATGCTGCCACCCACCTTGAGATATAAGTTCTAAGGTCTCAGTATAGTTACAACGGCTGCCCCACCCTTCAAACTGAAACGCATTACTGCTTCACGGCAGAAATAGGCAGGTTGGTGGTACCTACCCGTGCGAACTCACAAGAGGTCCTACCGCGATTCGATTCGAGACAATAGCTAAAAATGGAACATCACGCACAAAATTAATTAGCTCTTCTCGTATGCATCATATCTCGTATAATTCGGTAAAAAATTATTACACAAATCTGTTTCATATACTCAAAGAAGTTTTTAATTTAGTTCGGTATACTATTATAATTATTAGTACCTACTTGTAATTCGAATACGTGTTGGAATGATTACGCACGAATAGACTGACGGGAGGGACGCACAACATTTTGACGATGCCCTACAACACACACGGCCGTCTGTCTGTCTGAAAATCAAATATCATCGAAGCAAAGGCTTTGAAATCAATCCATTCATTTCATTTGTAAATCGGGAGCTGGATTCCTTCGAATTAGTTCTCCTTCAAAAGGTGAATGTCTTGTTAAGACGGGTATGTATGTACGCGTCGCGTTCCATTTCTACTTTAGACTTATGTAAATGGATTCTTAGGGCAGAATATCATTGGCGCGTACATAATTAAATTTCGATGAATTTTATTTAAAAACTAGCTGACCCGGCAGACTTCGTGGTGCCTCAATCGATAAATAAAAGACCTAAACTTTTGTATAAAATTAACTTAAAACAAACAAAAGGAATCCGTCCAACGGGGGACAACGGGGTACAACACATCAAAGGGAAAACAAAATTGTTATTTTTATCTAATTCCGAGCGTTTTCATATTTATCTACCTTTTAAACTTTCTCTGGACTTCCACAAATAATTCAAGACCAAAATTAGCCAAATCGGTCCAGCCGTTCTCGAGTTTTAGCGAGACTAACGAACAGCAATTAATTTTTATATATAAAGATAAAAGATAAATATTTTCTTTTTTAATTAAATTTATAATTCTTTTTTTTAATTGGTTACATAGGTGGAAGAGCTCACGGTCCACCTGTTGTTAAGTGGTTACTGGAGCCCATAGACGTCTTTAACGTAAATGCCGTCACTCACCTTGAGAAAAGAGTTCTAAGGTCTCAAGTATAGTTACAACGGCTGCCCCCACCCTTCAAACCGAAACGCATTGCTGCTTCACACCAGAAATAGGCAGGGTGGTGGTACCTACCCTTGCGGACTCACAAGAGGTCCTACCACTAGTCTATACTAATATTATAAAGAGGAAAGATTTGTTTGTTTGTTTGTTTCGAATAGGCTCCGAAACTACTGGACCGATTTGAAAAATTCTTTTTCCATTAGAAGCCGACATTGTCCCTGATGAACATAGGCTACTTTTTTTTATTTTTTTTTATTTTATTTTTTTAGTTTCATGTGTGTTTTAATGTTTCCGAAGCGAAGCTAGTTCGCTAGTTAATAATATTACCAATAGTACCTATCGTTGACTAATCATATTTTTATTTTGTTTCAGAAAACGCAAGCAAGAGCAGCTCCAAAACACGAAACAATGCAGCGGCATTAAGCTGCTACACAGGTAATTACTCTATTTATACATTGCTAGCCGTACTCAATTATTTAAAATCTATATAAATTAATACGTGAAGCAAAAACTTTGTACCCCTTTTTACGCAAATTGCGCGGACGGAGGAGTATGAAACTTCCCATACTTATAGAGAATATAGAGAAGGAGTGCAGAATGCAAATATTTTAAAATAATTGTGCATTAATAATACATTAATTTAATAAAAAAATTACACACACTACCGTGTATTTGACACACACATATATAAATACCCTTTATTTACTGTCAAACTTTTGTCATAGCATCGAAGTCTGTGGTCAAAATGAGAATAGATAAATATTGTTTATTTTCATTAATATTTGTCTATAGTGTAGTCTTGGTGATATCTGTCATTATAGAAATATGATAGTCTTGGATAATAGAACCTTAATAATGTTCAAAGTTATGTATAATTTCAATCAATTATAGTCGAATTTCGACTACAGGGGGTCCACTAGTTAACATTATTATTTATTGTCATTATTATTAGGGAGTCCAATACTCATATAAATATTAGCCTATCCATTGAGTACATGTGTTTTCTACATGGATAAAAAGTTTCAAGTCAATCGGATGCATGGTTCAGTAGTTATTACGGAACATCCGTAAAAACCACTATAGATTTATGTATTAGTATAGATGTTATATCGCTTCCTATTTTCGGGCATCAGACGTGCTGGCAATATGCTGGAAATCAGTCGATCGGCAATACCAGACGCATATCCGACCTACCGCCGAGGAAACTCCTCAAAATTTGTTTGGACGTGACAGAGCTTTTAGGAAATACCCAGAAGTGAAGTTCAGTCCTAAGCCGCTTAGCAAGAGCCAGAAATGATCTCTGTAAAAGTTACATTTCACGAAGTTTTATATGTGATCTTATTGGATTCGTCTTGTTTGTCGGCATCGCTCTTGAAAGAGTGGTCGTGGTCATCACCTCAGGTGTTTGTAGCAAGCTTCTCAACTCGCCGCATTTTTCTGTGACAGATTAAAATATAGTTAAATGAAATTGGATTAAAAAGACTGAATTGTTTTAAATTTTCTTAGTTATCTGGAAAGTGCGATTAGTGACTTTGATACTGTTATTAAGGGTAAAAGGAAGGTAACTGATACAGTGAAAAATAAGTCGTGTGCTTGTCGGACCGTACGCGATGATAAGTTCGGTGGTCTTTCTTTGCTACAAAGGTAGGTATGAAGGAAAGAAGGAAGCCCGATGTATATGATATGATTATTTACTTTTACTTTGAAAGCTTTTGATGCGTTTCGGTTTGAAGGGTGTGGCAGTCGTTGTAACTATACCTTAGAACTTGTATCTCGATGTGGTTTTTTTTTTATTCCTTAGATGGTTGGACGAGCTCACAGCCCACCTGGTGTTAAGTGGTTACTGGAGCCCATAGACATCTACAACGTAAATGCGCCACCCACCTTGAGATATAAGTTCTAAGGTCTCAGTATAGTTACAACGGCTAACCCACCCTTCAAACCGAAACGCATTACTACTTCACGGCAGAAATAGGCGGGCGGTGGTACCTACCCGTGCGGACTCACAAGAGGTCCTACCACCAGTAATTACGCAAATTATAATTTTGCGGATTTCATTTTACTTACACGATGTTATTCCTTCACCGTGGAAATCAATCACCGTGGCGGCATTTACGTTGTAGATGTCCTTGATGGCTCCGGTGATCACTTAACATCAGGAGGGCCGTGAGCTCGTCGATCCACCTAAGCAATAAATAAACAAGTTTTGCCCTGTTACGTTATTTGTTGATGAATAGTTTCCCGCCATAAATGGAAATCACGTTAAGTTACAAGTTCTGACATCTAGCGGTATAAAGAGTAACTAGCGATTTATGCAAATGTCCTAACGCGTTGTTTTGGTTGTTGACATTTCGATTCATAGCGTCCTCTACAGATGGCGCTACTTCATAGCAGCTGGTCAGCTGTCATGGCGACAACTTGTCAAGGAAGCGAGAGGAAACTGTCAAAGAAGAAATGTCAAGCAAACTTGTACACAAATCGGAACCAAGCTCATAAAATATTTATTTCATAGAAACTTTTCGATGAACGTCCAGCCTCGTTTACAATAATGCCTTCCACCATACTGTGATTACTACATTTGTTGAATTTTAATTAAAGTTTATTTCATAATTGTTAGCTACAAGCACTCGTGTTGTGTTTGGCGCGTTTGTCGTTCGCGGATAGAGTTTGTATCACAATTTGTCGAATGTGATGTTTATTTAGTTATTAAAGGCATTCCTCGTGTTAATAATTCTAAGGTAAGTTAATCACTTGCAATCGAGGTATTGTCGTTTTATGTTTGGGTTTACGACCTAAAGTTTTGTTTACAACTTATTTCCTGTGTTTATGAGTGTCAAATCCAAAGAAAAATATTGATGAAACTTTAGTAAGACGTTCAATAAATAACTTCCAACTCAATTCATCTTTATTTCAAAACAAAAAAAGGTGTGATTTTCCTAAATGTTTATTTTTAAATTTAGTTCAGTGTGACCAAAACAAATAATCACAGTATAAAAATGGATAGGTAAACCAACATATTTTTTTTTCTGTAATGAGACCTTATTCTAACACTATAACAAATGTCAATATCTTTAGATATTGATTCCACAGTTATAAAACCCCTTTAATATATATGAGTATCCAGTACACATCCAAATGGGGTTCTTAGATTCCCTATTGTGTTCTCCGCTGTAGATCACGGATCTCACTCCGACTACTGCCGTAGAGTTGCGCAGTTGTGTTGTGAACAATTACATTTTTTATGCATTAAAATTGTTGGCGTAGAATCATATTATTCAGTAATAATATTATCGAGGTGTATTTAGTTGTGTGGGTATTGTTTGTGTAATCACAATGAACATGGTGAGCTCTTTATACCCCTACTAGTAAAGGTTTTTTTTTTCATAACTTGTTCATTGTACCGTGAAGTTATGATTTAATTTGTTTTGACATGTTCTCATTATATGAACCATCCAAATTTTTTGTAGTATTGATGAATGCATTCACATTTTAAAACGATTAAATTTTTAAAAATTGTTAACAATAGATGAACTGAATTTTTTTGTTGTTGGATATATTTCAAGTAATCAGATATTTTATTATATCCATTTATAAGCAGATTGACTCGTAAGGCATTAGATGCATTCTGTACAGTATTTTATAATATGATGTATTAAGTTATACACCGATCGATGATGGAGACTCTTGACTCCAGCGTGCGGTTTCATTTCTGCTTGCCGTCCCTCTCATACTTCCACCAATTGAATACGAGGCTGAGTATGATCCTTATTGTTTGGTTTATTGATTTTTTTTCATAGCTTGGTGGTTTTTTGATGCGCAAGCAGTACGTCTTTAACTCACTGCGCTCTCAGTTCGGTCTATTCATAAACTGTTATTGATTATTTTTTGTGTAATGTGGGATACAGAATGGCTTTGGTGTGAAGATATGCAAAAGTTAAGTATTTTGATGGTGATTAAACTTAATCTTGTTAAAGTTTGAAACCTACAATTGCCAAAAAATATATTTTTTTAGGAAAAATGTGTTAAAGTGTTCTACTATACAATAGTAGAATTAGGAAAGTGCATACATACAAAGTCTCATATGTAAATAAATAAAAAATATCAGGAAAAATGATATATTAAAGATATCACATTAAAATATATAAAAAATTGTACTTTAGTGTAAGCCTATTTTATAGTTAAGTGTAATATTTGAGTATAAAATAGTTGATTCTATTTTATATCTTTAAAAAAAAAATTGTTTATCCTAATATCATTGGTTAGAGAATATATTTTATTGAAAAAACATTACTTCTTATATTTACATTTCAACAATATATTTTTGTAGCTTCATCTATGCACAATAACCTAGCAAAATAATTATTAACAACAAGAAAAATTTCAAGGATGTTTATGATAAACACAAATCAGTTCTCAATGAATAGCAAATAGATCTGTTATAGAACTTAAAACTGTACTAGGAAACATAAACAAGCATATTTTACTAGAAATAGCTAACAATCACTTTTCCTATACATCTAATCGATTGAAGTCTGCTTGCATCCGAGGGTGGATTAGGTTCTCGTTTGAACGCGGCATTTCCCTCCATCACTGCATCCAGTTTCGGACTCGTCTCGAAAATCATGAACCTCAAATTTTGGAAAATTGGACCCGTTTTGGAAACCGGTGATCTACTAGAAGAATCACTTGTTTCTCCTCATTATTTAGTTATTTAATCATAACAGAATCTCTAGCGACATTAAGAAGCGTCTCTGATCCGGGTCCTAATAGATAAGCAGTGGTAGTAACAGGACGATACCGCGGCACGATCTAGAGGCAGATTCGCTTTTTTCTTAGTAGTTATGTACTTAACAGTGTCCACGACAGCCTTCCGCGGTCAAGAAACCACGTTGGGTACCCTAACTCGAGATCGCAATTTTTGTGTAATTTCTGGTAGCACGCTGTCGGCTCGTACGGCTGGGTCAGTGCCACTGTACCGCACATTGTCAGGAATATCTGTTATTCAAATCCTCGTGCGAGTTTGGCTTTCTAAGTGGACGGCAATTAAATTGTATCATTTATACTGAATTCCACTGGTTTGTGTGTGCGACCGAAACGCGATTTGGTAAAAACACGTAATTTTGGAACTTCTTTGAATCGAGTATTGCCAGTTATTTGTCTTAGAGAGAGTGAGGGAGAGAGAGTATTTTTTATTTTACACCAATAAAATAAACAATGCGAAACATTAAATACAAAAAAAAGTACAATTGGAGGTTTTATTGTTAAGAGCGATCTTTTCCAGACAACCATCAGGCGGACAAGAATCATTTGGAAACGAATTACACGCGGTGTACCTATCGATTGAATTATATACATACACAGATAACAAATATGAACAAAGTAATAATAATTTTGCTTCTTTAAATAAATAATCTTCAATAAAAATACACAATTTACATATAAAATATGCTTAAAATACCTAAATCTTGTAATTAAATGTAATGTTTAAATGTCTTAATGTAACACATTGGATAGAATAGGAGGAGGCTCCTGACTGAGCCTTTGCTCGCCCATCTGTCCTTGTGAAAGGACAGGAAATGCTTATGGGCTACCAGTAATCACTCAATCATAAAAAGCATTGGATATAGGTTAATAGTGTTTTTCTTTGGTTTGTTTTAGGTAGTGTCTCGCCATGCAGCGTGCGGGTGGGAGAAGGGCCTGTGCGCCATGAGCCACACTCCTGTAGGCGGCCACCCGCAAGGTAAATATCACGTTTGAAGATTTCCATACCTGTACCAACTGGGTTCGAGATTATCACGGCGTGACCACAGACTGTCTGAGCTCGGTGCATCGAAACGACACCCCCCCACCCCCTCCCTCCCCCCGCCGGTGCTCAGTGAACCTACATGTACACACTACCCTACCGTGGGTTGACGTCGACAATCAGCGTCTCCAGGACCCTGCATGCAAAGTCTGTGATTTTATTTCTGCGTTTCAGGATTAAACATTAGAATCTCGCCTACGCTTAGTCAAATACAAAGAGATCGTTACGAAAGGACGCCGCGTCAAGATTTAAAAATATAAACAGATAAAATTATGTATTTAAAAAAATAAAAAATACTTAGATGAGTGGTCGAGCTCACGGTGTGGTGCTAAGTGATTACCAGAGCCCGTAGACATGGCTTTTAAATCTTCAAATGGGGTTTCAAATCGTAACGCATTACTGCAATGTTAGTTTTGTATTTTTGTCCAATATATATAAGTTTGTCCGTGCGCAGGTTGGGAGCACAAGCTTGCTGACAGGTCGTCGTTACCGCAGGCTTCGGGTGAGGAGAAAAGCAAATCTCAGTCCAAACATGTGTTCGCACAACCGCATTTCTCCAAGTAAGATAATCATAAATACATTTTTTAAGAGTCTTCATTATTTCGCCGGCATAAAGCAATATATCAATAAACATGTTGTGAGGTTATCCTTGGAAGATAGATTCCAGAAGAAATCATTGACAGGACGTACAGTACTCGGCGATAAATATTGCGATGTAACGTTAGTCGGAAATCTCACACCATGAATATCTTAGTTAGATAGTTTTGATTATTTAAAATTTGTCATTGTGAGTACTGTTGTTCAGGGTCAGCATGGCGTGGCGCGAGCAGACGGAGGGATCGTCGGGCAGCTCGGCGCGGTCGCCCGCCTCGCCGCCCTACATGCGCTGGGCGCGCAGTCTGCACGAGTTGCTCGAGGTAACAACTAACAACCCCATATTATCTCCACTATGCACTCGACGAGTTGCTCGAGGTAACAACTAACAACCCTATATATTATCTCCGCTATGGACTCGACGAGTTGCTGGAGGTAACAATTAACAACCCTATATTATCTCCACTATGCACTCGACGAGTTGCTCGAGGTGACAACTAACAACCCTATATTATCTTCATTACAATTTTCTGCTTAACAGGCTAAAATACCATACTCGTATTCTTAAAATACTCTAAAAATATATGGAATCACAATTTAATAATAACTATTATTATGTAATTATCACCGTCTTTTAATAAAACGCTTTGTGTACAGTTTCCTTTGACTATTTATTTTAAGTAACATTGCGATTTTCCATAACCGAAAAAGATTTCGTGTTAGCAGTATAGTGTTTATTATTTACTTATTTATCCTTCTTGACCCGAGTCTAACGCTTACATTTTTTTTTCTTAGATGTGTGGACGAGCTCACAGCCCACTTGGCGTTAAGTGGTTACTGGAGCCCATAGACATCTACAACGTAAATGCGCCACCCACCTTGAGATATAAGTTATAAGGGTCTCAGTATAGTTACAACGGCTGCCCCACCCTTCAAACCGAAACGCATTACTGCTTCACGGCAGAAATAGGCAGGGCGGTGGTACTTATCCGCGCGGACTCACAAGAGGTCCTACCACCAGTAAAAAATATTATTTGACCTAATATTATTAATTATACCTAATATTATTTGAGTTGTTTCTACAAACGAACAAACCGTAAAAGAAAACGACAACTGTATTCTGTATTAACAAGTCAAGATCTCGTTAAACGATCCACGATAAGGCAAAAGTAACTAGATAAAAACAGAAATAGCAATCCTTCAAATTGATAGTTATCATAGAATTATACGTTACTTATCGCATCTTCTGTTCGTTTGTTTACATGATTAAAAGTTTAATTTGGGATTTAATATCACAATGAGTGCAGAACTATTCCGACATTAACTTACAAAAAGTACTTTTGCTAACTTAAAATAGGGTAGTTAAATGTTAATTGAGCTATATTTAATAAAAATAATAAAAATCTATCAATTACGAAACAAAACAAGGCTACCCGAAAAGACTAAAAAAATTTAGTATTTCTTTATTTTTTTTATTTGCTTAGTTGGGTGAACGAGCTCACAACCAACCTGGTGTTAAGTGGTTACTGGAGCCCATACACATCTACAACGTAAATGCTTCACGGCAGAAATAGGCGAAGTAGTGGTACCTACCCGTGCGGACTCACAAGAGATCCTAACACCAGTAAAAGTAAAATGTTCGCTAATTTTTTTCACTTCTGGTAAATGTTTTTTTAAGCATGTTAAATGTTGTCGTCAGGACGCGGAGGGGGTGCGCCTGTTCCGCAAGTTCGTGGGGGGCGCGGGGGGATTGCACGTCGACCGACTCAACTTCTACTTCGCGGTCCAGGGGCTGCGGCAGGAGGCCGACGCCGCCAAGATACGGCAGGTCGTCTCCGCTATATACAAGTAAGTGTGCTTTATATGCTATGGAAATAAAATAAACTGTCATGTAAATGTCATACGCTTCATTAAAATCGTAAAAAGTTTTCGAATGTAGCTCGAAGGAACAAACATGGAGATTAAAAATCAGTGCTTTAAGCTCGGATATATCTCAACATCATATTGTGATCATTCTTTTTTTTGTTTTTGAATTAGAGTTGTCGTTGCCTAAAGGATGCCTGGTTCATTTGTATCCAGCGATGCAAGTGTACCGATGTTCGAATCCCGCAGTCAGGTCCTAATATCTCCAATGTAATGGGTACTTAATAAATGCCCACGATCGACTTCAAGATAAAGGAATAACACCGTTAATAAAAATGAAATCCGCAAAAAATATAGGTGGTAAGACGTCTTGTGAGTCCGCACGGGTAGCTACCAACACACCGCCTATTGCTGCCCTGACATAGTAATGCGTTTCAGTTTGAAGGGTGGCGTAGGCTTTGTACTTTCAAGCTGAGACTTAAAACTCACGTCTCAAGGTGGGTAGCATTTACGGGGTTCTTGGCTCCGGTAACTACTTAACAACAGGTGGGTCGTGAGCTCGACTACCCATCTAAGCAATAAAAAAATTGTATAGATAGATACATAAGTAGTTTAACGGACAAACTTTTCCAAATGAAAACTGAAAACGTGAATAAGAAAGATTCTTGAAAATTATTTAAATGTTTTTGTAATTTTAATGACAGAGTCAATAATATCAGAATCTTGTGTATTAATCAGGACGTAAATAAAATCAATAGTTTATATTTTTCATCCTTCGATTTGATGATATAGCTGAATGCAGTGAATATTCCATTAAACAAACATGATTCTGTAATGGGAACTCTCAAATACCCAACTTACGTAGTCACATTCAACCCGCTCGGATTCCCACTGCACGCGTGCACTCCGTACTCTTTTTTTTTTATTGCTTATAATGGTGGACGAATTCACAGCCAACATGGCGTTAAGTGGTTACTACAGCACATAGACATCTACAACGTAAATGCGCCACTCACCTTTAGATATAAGTTCTAAGATCTCAGTATAGTTACAACGGCTGCCCCGCTCTTCAAACCGAAACGCATTACTGCTTCACGGCAGAAATAGGCAGAGTGGTGGTACCTACCCGTGCGGACTCATAAGAGGTTCTACCACACCACCAGTACTTACGAATGTCGTGTTGATTGTAGATTTCTCCGCAAGTCTCAGCTAGCGATGCCCGAAGAGCTGAAGCAGCAGGTGAAGCAGAGCCTCAAGGACGGCTCCAGCATCGAGAAGAACATCTTCGATAACATGGAACAAGAGGTACTGTTACATATGCCCCGCAATACTAATGCAATATAAATAATAATGCAGACTAAGGCATTCCTCAATGCATCGTCCTTATATAAAGACGATTTATTGTTAAAACGCAGCAGAACAGAATTGGCTTGAGTAGAGGAAACACATATCGTTTGTACTATTTCTTTTATAAAATAAACTCAGTGTCAGTCATAGGTTCCTTTTTTTTTAAAAAGCTCCGGGATTCACCCCGTAATAGTACGTTCCCATTTGTGACTTTCATTGGCATCGCTCCAGGAATTCTCGCGCCAGTTAATAAGAAAAAAAAAGTGTGCGTGTGTGTATGTGCAAGTCACACATGGATATACGGGCTGTCCCACTACACAGGAGCATACATATGGACAATGTTTAGTAGACGATAGTGGGGATGCTACGAAGAGTCGCACAAAGACGAGACCGAGAACGTCTAATGTGTTCTATCTCATTCTCTTGTCGGCTGAATCCTATACATTTATGTGTTTGTGTCTCTATGGACTTATTTTTTCGTTTCATCGAGTTTGAAATCACAACGATTCTAAAGAAGTTTCATTTCAAAAATATTTGCGATTATGTAGTTGTTGTTGTGTGTGTGCAGGTGACGCGCGCCATAACTGAGACGACGTATCAGGCGTTCCTGCGCTCGGACGCGTACGTGTCGTACGTGAGCGCCGCCACGCAGCCGCTCTCCTCCCCCGACGCCTCGCCCCCGCCACCCGCTAAAGACGTTAGTACTCACCCCCAATGTACACTGGACATCAATACCTCGCATCTACGGCCCGTGGAACTGCTCCCACACATATAAACAACGTTTTCTTAAAATCGGCAAAATCAGTTTTAAATTCTCTGCCGATGAAACACTACATATTATTTGGTTTGAATGCATTTTTATTACATACATATTTGAGGGAAACGACCATTAGCCACTTATGACGTCATCCGTTGTACTTCATGTTCAGGTTAACTTGAACATAATTTGTTATTTTGTAATGATATGTCACAAAAATAATAATTGGCTTGGTCGTGTCGCCCGAGGGAGAGCCAGAGAGAGAGAAGGATAGAGAGAGATGGTACGTGTGCAGTAACGTTGTCGCGTTGCCCCCAGCTGTCGGCGGGCGGGCTGGCCACGCTGCACGAGGGGCAGGAGCTGGCGGGCGCGCCGGCGCGGCTCACGCACGACGCGCTGCTGGCCACGCAGTCGCGCCGCCTGCGCTCCGACGCCGCGCCGTGAGTGTGCCGCCGCGCGGACGGCGTCATGCACGCGACTGCCATGAACACTCTAGAACCGTCCGTTCGACAAAAACAATCATTATAAAATTTATGTCGAAACACGTGTGCGTGTTCATGATGTGTTCTGTATGACGCTGTCCTGTTTTTTAGTTTAAATGTATTTTCATAGTTTCGTTTTGAGTACATAGTACGTTTTAATAGATTTTATTATATTCATAGTTGTAATAGCGTAGTTTGAATACATAGTCTTCTTTCTTAGTTTCGTATTATTGATTTTTCTTAACAATCCAATTTACGCTACCACGAAAGAATGAATGCATTAATTTCGATATTATTTCAGTTTAAAAAAATATCAGTATCTATATACTTTCATTCGAGTCTTAAGAACCTTCTTTACAGCACCTTACTCGGTCTTCTGATCAACAGCTGATGTCATGTTAAGTGAACTTATTAGCCTTAGTAAACTATTCTAGTACTACTGGTACTAATACTACTAGTAGTATATTATTATTCATATACACGAAGGTTTTTGAGCTCGAATAGTAAGTTAACAATATCATATGTAAAATAAAACCCCATAAACATTGAATATCTCTCGTGGTATCATTATTATTAGTATTATTATTTTGCTCGATAATCGGGAACGACCATTGGCAATGTTATTACAAAATTTAATTCTTCGTTCTCTGAGTTTTCGAAATTATCAGGATTGTACAGAAATGTTCAATAAACCAAAATATATTTTTTTAAGTAGGGTTTGTTGTTTTTAACGTGTGTTTTTATAAGTTTGATATTTTCAAAATAAATAATAATTACAAATCGACTGTGATCGCAACCATACGTCAGTTGGTTCAGCATTGCATGATCGCGTCCCGAGCACGCCGCGTAGTCCGCCGCCGCTTCCGACTCATGCGCCCCTTGTATTCGTTTCTCCCCATGTGTTGCCCGCATGCCCGCCGACCCGCCGTGTCTTGTATAAACGCTATCCGCACATTGCCCTATCCCGCCGCGGCCGCGCAGACACCGCAAGCGCTCCGTGTACAGCGCGCACGTGGCGTACGCCGGCTACTGTCCCGCCTCGCGCTACGACTCGGAGCGGGCCAGCCTCAGCAGCGGCCGCGCCGACAGCGACGCCGTGTCGCTCTCCGGCAGCAGTCTGTGAGTACCCCTCCCCCAACCCCCCGCTCCCCCGCAGGAGCCGCTCTGTGACGTCAGCTCCAGCTCAGTGCGACGCTCGCACACGGTGATGTATTTATTCTCTTTATTAGATCAGTTTGAGAGTTTGTTAGAATTTTATACCTTATAATTTCATGTAGTAGTAGTTTGCCATGATAGCGAATTGTTTTCATTTTTGCTTCCTAATTAAATATCACAAATAGAGTTATGTACCAACACAGACATACCATAATTAACTTGACATTATTTTAAAACATTGATTGTAATTTAACATGCATCAGAGTGTCCCCCTCCCAGCATCTTATTAAAATTCACTGTAAATATTCATTAATAATGAAACGGCCTTAAACTAACAACAAAACAAATTTAGCGTACGAGACCCTAAAAAATATATCCATCTCGCTTAAATGATGCACGCTGTTAATATTCTCCGTCTCTGTCCAGCGATGGCGTGTCAGCCCGCGGAGTCCGGGAGTCCAGGGATACGCGGCATCGGTCCCGACTCCCCGGCATGGACCGGCACGCTGTCATCAACAAGGAGCAAGACACGGCCATGGTCAGTCATCAGTCGTCAAAGTACTTGTCGTTGAAAAAGAAGTCATTTAACAATGGCAGTGGATATTCGACTCGATATGTTATTTTTATCGATTAATAACAATGATTTCAGTTTGAGTCTGGAAATGATTAGGTGTCACATTTTCGTCTATAAATTTGTATAAAAAATTAATTGCTGTTCGTTAGTCTCGCTAAAACTCGAGAACGGCTGGACCGATTTGGCTAATTTTGGTCTTGAATTATTTGTGGAAGTCTAGAGAAGGCTTAAAAGGTATAAATATGAAAATGCTCGGAATTAAATAAAAATAACAATTTTGTTTTTCCTTTAATGTGTCCCCCGTTGGACGGTTTCCTTTTGTTTCTTTTAAGTTAATTTTATACAAAAGTTTAGGTCTTTTATTTATCGATTGAGGCACTACGAAGTCTGCCGGGTCAGCCAGTACCTAATAAAAATAATTAGGAAATAAATTTTATATTTACGTAGTACCTACCATTAAGTATCGCGTTTCATGTCATCCGGTTTAGGAACGCATTAAACACAAACGTACGGACATTGAGTAACAAATGCAAATGTGTGTTGCAGGTGATTCCGCGCACGGTGCGCGTGCAGTCGGAGCAGCTGCGCGTGCTGGCGCCGGCCGAGTTCGCGCCGCTGCTCATCGAGCGGCTCGAGCGCGTCAAGCGCGACCAGGACGCCAAGGAGCGCCTCGAGAGGAGGCTCGCCGAGGTACGGGCATGCACGCGCACGCGCCCGCACACGCACTCACACACCCGCACACAGCACGCACGCGCACGCACAGCAGATACGCACAAATAAACACTAAGCTTTTATTTACTCGAGATATAAAAAGCAGATAAGAATTAACAAATTTTAAATTAAAAAAAAGATCATCATCATCATAGTCGGTTGCTCTTGCCAGAGCAGTCATGGTCGTGTGGAATTTTTGTTGCCTTGACAGATGTTTTCGATAGTTTGCGAACTGAAGCTTGGCGCACGCACTCGTTCGCAAAGAAAATATACGTTTCATTAAAACTGAATTTCATCGGAATTGATTTATAATTACAGACCGCATATTTTGTTAAATGTCATGGTTGACTCTTGATCATGGTCTGGGTGAAGTGCGTAACAAGCTATTGGCTCCTGAAATGTAGCTGTCTTGTCCCACTTCTCGGTCCGTGGGAAGCACACGTCCTTCCCAATTGTTATAGAGTGTGTTGTATGCAGGGTGACGCTGAAGACGGCTCCAGCCAAGCGCTGCCGCCGCAGCTGGTCGCGGCCGCCATCCGAGAGAAACTGCAGCTCGACGATGACAACGATCAGGATATATTAGGTTAGTCATTTATTATTTAGTTATTTTTATTTATTTATTATTATTGTATTTCATCTTCGAGCCGATAAATTGCCAATGTTATGTACGCCATTATTGTCACATGCATCAGGCCATAAATTAAATAGTTTAAGCTATTTTAAATGTTAAATGTTTGTTATGTGACAGTACTTTTTTTAAATAAATAGTCAATGTAACTGTACCGCAACACTGTTTAAATCTCACCTTTAAACTTCACAACTTAAGTTGATAATAACAAGGCCACGTCTCCCACCAGACCAGCACGTGTCGCGCGTGTGGTCGGAGCGCACGCCGGGCGCGTCCCCGCCCGGGGGCCGGCGCGCCCGCCAGCGACACGCGCACTCGAGCCACGCCGCGCACTCCGCACACTCGCGCCGCGCCGCCTCCGCGCTCTCCGCCGCGCTCTCCGCCGACTCGGGACACTACGACGCGCCGCCGGACTCCTTCAACCATCCGCACTCGCTAACGCGCAGGTACGTGGCGACGGAACGCGTGTCTTGTGAGTCCGCACGGGTGGGTACCACCACCCTGCCTATTTCTGCCGTATGAAGGGTGGGGCAGCCGATGTAATTATACTTGAGACTTTAGAACATATCTGAAAGTGGGTGACGCATTTAAGTTGTAGATGTCTATGGGCTCCAGTAACCACTTAACACCAAGAGGGCTGTGAGCTCGTTCACCCATATAAGAAATAAATATAATAATATATATATCAGTCTGTAGACCTTAGAAATAAAGGTGAAGCCATATTTTGTTTAAAAGGTAGTGGCGACACCAACGCGAAACTATAAGAAATAGTTCCACACATACACCTGTTAATTTGTACAAGCATTTTTTTTATTTTTTTTTATCGTATATTTGACCAGTTTACAGTCTAGAGCCTTCAATCTGAGTTCCAGGAGTCTGCCTGCATACACTAGTCTGCTGACAGCTGCCACCATTACTGTTCAACTGAGACTTTGACTTTATGTGTTAAGACGGTCCGAGAATTCACTTTGTGGTAAAGATCGGTTTTCCGTATAGTACCTCGGACCGAACAATAAATTACAAATTCCCATGCTCTATAGTATAATTATTTTGTCCGTGCAGTTTGGGTCCAAAAAATCGGAGCGGTGAAGCGAGTATTTCGCTCTCTCTTCCACTCACGCGTCTTATGGACGGGCATAGTGATGCGCATTATTGTTGTCGATAAGCGTTATCGATAGTGTATTTAGTTTTGTCATTTTGTGGGTTAGTAATAAACATGAAAAACAATATCACTAATCGAACACTTACACCACATATCGCCGCAAAAAGTTAACAGAACGGCAGAAATTAACACTAACTTTTCGGGATCTATTCTTATTTCAGTGAAAAAAGGGGAATGCCCATTTTAGGCCCAAAGCGGACAATAGATTATAGAAAAAATACTTAGTGCATTAATTTTGTCATAAATAAAAATATGCATTTACTTTCTTGCAAATAAGCGCCACTACAGTTTACAATAAGTAGTTTAGATGTATGTGGGCTCGAGTAACCACTTAGCAACACCAGGGTGGCTGTGAGCTCGTCCACCCATCTAAGCAATAACAAATACTTTACTAGTATTGTTATTTAAATATGTACAACTAAAACAAAAACATAAAAAATAATGTGTACTCGTGAAAAAAAGATTAAGATATAAAACAATCATCGGTTATTTAAAAAAATAATCGATATATGAATTTCATGTAATTATTTTTCTTTATACTGACAACACTGAATTTAATCTGACTGACTGACACTTCGCTTGCTGCTTGTGGTGTTGTGCTTGCGTCCAAAATGGATGTGTTTTGATTTTTCTTCGATTTATTTTACTTTTATTAATAACGTTTCATACTACGACTAAAAAACATTGTGTGAATTGTGGTTTTACCCTGACCGAGATTTAAAACCGTGTATATGCTCTCCTTTGCTATTTTTAGATGATACTAATTGTGTATGAAGATGAAGAAAATATAGATATTTAAAGAATTAAGTGTGTTTTCTATACCCTATTGGATAAAAATACATTAGGAACATCTTAACCATTAAGAAAAGAAAAGTTCTTGAAGTATCTCACAATCCGACACTCATTTATATAGAAAATTAACCTCAAAACGAGTTTTTATTTTTATTATATTTTTTATAATAGTGGCGTCAATTTCAATATATTTTTTAGATATCCAATACATTTAAGAATTTGAATCAGTACATTTTTATAGTAATGTTTGATGTCCATCTTGGGCCTAGCACACTATGGAGAGTGGGCATTCCCCTTTAACACATTGTTGATTACAACACGTGCAAATATTATTTTGAATAAATTCTGCCGTTTTGATACAAAACAAAGGAGTAGCCGATGACTCATTTGTTTTTATCGATAATCGCGCAACATGCTCACCGCCCTAGCCGGGCTATGTTTTATGACCCAATCTGCACGGACAAAATAATTCTACTATAGTTGCTTTTTAATCAATAACGACCCATGCGCCAATGTCTCAATTCGTTCGCGTCGCACAGATCGTTCTCGAAGAAGACGGTGACGGAGCTGACGGACAGCGGCGTGTCCGTGGTCAGCGACAACACGACGAGCGCGGGCGGCGTGGAGCCCCGCATCCTGCTGTGGATCGCCGAGGGCTCCGAGCGCCTCGAGCGCCGGCACCTGCTCTCCTCCAGGGGCTCCTCCGCCGACCGCAGGGACAAGCAGAGGTCACGGTGAGGACATGCCACATTGACCGTCCTGCTCCAACCCCGGTCCCCGACTAACAGATGGTTGTGGTTCAGGGGCAGCGGCAGCAAGGGCGGCAGCGGGCACAGCGGCGCGGCGGAGCAGACCGTGGTGGTGGTGACGTTCCTGGACGAGCCCGTGCCCTACCGCTTCAAGGTGCCCGCCGCGCCGCTCACACTCAAACTCTTCAAGGACTACCTGCCCAAGAAGGGAAACTTCAGGTAAACACTGCTGTCTGTGTATTGCGTTACTGATTACTGCAAAACAATACTGACAATGCTCACGATACGAGACGTGTGAGTTGCTTTCGCCAATTATGCTCAGTACTCATTCTTTTTTCAACCATAAATGTCTTTAATTTAGTTATTTCGTTTCAATGGTAAATTTTACATGTGATCACACAATGTCATTAATGCTTATAGAATAATATGTCCTACAAAGTAAAATGAAACTGTCGACATCTATAATCTCAAAGAAAATGTTAAATCAACAAAGTAATACTCACATTACTGACAGCAATAATTATACACATTTACCGTTTTAATTTATTTATAGAATCATCCTTCATAAGGTAACAAATAAAAAAGTATTTCTGTAAAAGTACTTTAAAAAAAAAAGTCTTAAACAAGTCGCCTAGTGGCAGATCTGCAAGTTAGCTAGCCGGCTTTGAAGAATATAATAAATAGCAATTGTGAAGGCTTTTTGGCGGGAACGCGAGGAGTGAAGTTGTGTGATTTGTTTTATTTTGTCTATTTAGTGTTTCTTCAGGTTTAAATGTGTGTTAATAACGGTGGTTTAATATCTATGAAAGTGCACAAATGTGGGAAAATGGAACAAAGTCGCTGGATGTAGTTTATCGGGATCCTCCAAAAAGCCCACTGAAAAAGTCTCAGTAAATAACCACCATCTTACTGAGATTATATTTCATCCCACATCATCTCATCTCATTTAATTTCGTTTCATCTCAGTTGATTAATGTCTCAAATTAATCATCTTCATTTCGTTTCATTTCACTCCATATTATAATTTCTCATAAAAATAAAAAAAAAATTAAAATAAGCCACACAAGCTAAACAAGCCTTGACTTAAAGGTCTTAGTTACCAGGTCACAAAATAACTAAAAGCATTTGTAAAAAGAATGTTGATCGTTCTATTGACAGATACTTCTTCAAGACGAACTGCGCGGACCTGGACACGGTGATACAGGAGGAGGTGTGCAACGACGCGGACACGCTGCCCATGTTCGAGGGCAAGGTCATGGCGCGCGTCAAGAGCGTCGACTAGTGGCGCCATCTGGTCAAGAGCGTCAGCCAGTAGCGCCATCTACCCATTTCAAGCACGCTGATTCTAACATGAAATGAGTCGATCAACATCTCCTGATGTCTTGTGAAAGTTAACTATAAAACAAAACAAAAAAAAATTGTAAAAATTATTAATTTCAGTGTTTTAAGTAATAACGTTGCCGATTTAACTGACTAATGACTCAAGCGTTCAAACTTTCCAATAATATTGCAAAAATATAATCCTTGAATGCGAGTGACACACGAACATCCAGAATCTCGCCCTGTTTATATTTAATAATCGTACGTTTACTGTATTGACATTTTGACTGATTACGTACTCTTCCATGATCGTTGGTTTTTATTATTATTATTTTTTTTAATTACTAGAAGTAATATTCGAATTATTTTGATACGGGGAACACTAAACTAAACAGGGCGACTGAACCGTGCAAATTTATTTATTTAATTTACTTTATTAACGCATACCGCGAGTGCACTGTATAAAGAAAAAACTGTTCCTCATTGACATTTAGATTATAAAAATTATTTTTAATTACTTTTTTACGTGAAGCTAGTTGAGTACGCTTACTATTGTACGGGAGTAATTAATGGCAGAATGACGACAGTACGGGCAATTGAATATGTACCGTGGTCCGGAACGAGGAAGCTTTGTCGCGCATGAATTTTTAATATTTATACCTATTTTTTTTGGGTAAATTCCACGCGTAATGTTAGTAATAAATCTTATTTTTTGATAGTTTCGTGGGATTGGTAATCGGATATCAAGTGATGGTTGTTATATCAATGTTATTCACAGAATAACGCACAGCTAACTCTGTTCCGTACCACGGTGTCGACCTAGAGTTATACTGACGACTGCTTAGTTTGTACATTTTTAATTAAATGTTTTTTTTATAGATTTAAAAAAAAACGAAAAAGTGTTCTGTTTAAAAAAAATTAAATATATTAAAATATTATATATAATTTGGTTGGAATCGAATAGATAATATGAAGAGTTTTAATGAAATTAAAAAAAGAAAACGGAAAACAAATACAATTTAAAACTACAATTCTTTTTTTTAAAACAGTGTTTATATATTAGATTCGGGAAACAATGTCTAATTTAGCATACTTTCAACACTGGGATCTCAATCAAGTTTAATGAATTAATGAAAATAATATTTTAATTATTAGAACCGTTTTATTATAAATAAAAATAATTTTCCGTGATGCAGCTGTGAATAGTACTAGTAGCGAAATAGTTTTAAGTAAAGATGTGTTTTTGATGTTTCAATCGATGAACGAGCAGAACATTCGAACAGTGCTTACTGAATGGTTCATTTTTTTTTTAATGGTGAATATAGAGTAAGTTATAGTACATTCAAAATATTATTCACTGTTATTATTCAACAGAAAGGCTCTATAGAGTATTTCAGCACAGTATTGACTGTTCGAAAGACTGCATTCATTCCGATGTTTTGCACTAAACCAGCGTGTGTTTCAATTATAGATGATTTTTTTCTATTTCCTAAATAATTTGATGCTGCCAAATCCAGACGTCGTAGCGGTAGGCAGCGGCTTGGCTCTGCCCCTGGCATTGCTGAAGTCCATGGGCGACGGTAACCACTCACCATCAGGTTGGCCGTATGCTCGTCTGCCTACAAGGGCAATATAAAAAAAAAAAAAATGAATACCACAAATTTATTTAGACGATAGAAAACATCTACACATTAATCCTTTAGACTAGTCTATTTACACTGTACCTTATCTGAAGTTGTATAAATAGTCTCCACGAGAACATAGTGTACAAAGTAAATCCAATACAGTCCTCAATACGCACTTTGTGTAAATAAAATGTAAGTTAGACTCTCACGTCCGATCCATAACATGGCAACACCGTTATAGCATCCATCAAATCGTTTTCATTTTTAGGTTTTGTAATAAATATTAAATGTACTATATAAAATGTGGGTCACAAAACTTATTTTGATGGATGGCGTAACGGTGTTGCCACAAGTACATTTTAAATGAGTACAGTGGAGTGTTGCCAGCGATGAGTACACCTTACGTCATGCACACTGGAGTATCGGTGCGGAATCATGTGCCTTCAATGTTGATAAAAATTTTCATAGTTGATGCTTCTAATTAGTCTTAAGTTTAACATTGTAAATATAGTTATATGTGTAACGCTACATCGTTTCGAGCTCTTTATTTTTTAATAATTTAATTTTTTTTTTAATTTATTGCCTAAGGTAGGTTGCGCTTAAGCGCAGCGGACCGTTGTGAACGCGGACGTCGTTACGGCCCCAGAGTTATACAATAATACTCGTCTTCCTTCGAATTCTATTTGTGTGGGTGCGGTTTGATGTTATTTTTCACTGCCAGTTCATTGCTCACTGTTTGTTTTTTTATCATTTGACGTTCTTGCCATTGTAAGTCAAGCCCTCATTTATTTTTAAGATTTACTGGGGAATTGTTGCGACGATCCGTGTTTTAGATGCGTTTTGTGGTCCATCCAATAAGCAGTGACCTAGTGCAAGGCCGCGCGATAATATGACTGTATAAATAGATGAATTACTATATCGTTTTTAAATTATAAAAGCATAAGGCACTTTCAGTAATGCGGTTCGTAGTGCCTCAACGTGAGGCGGAATGGCGACGTAACCGTTTGCTTTGTTAAATTGTAAAACATTTAAAAAATGCTAAGTAATGCAAATGATGCTGACCTAGTATACGAGAAATTGTAATAAAATTTAACGAAATGGAAGTATTATTTGGATATTCAATGTGAATTGTGAAAATAAATCTTAATATTCATAAGTGGAAAAAAAACAATCAATAATCAAACTGTATTATTTTTTATATAGCACAAAATATAACGTTTAAAAAATAAACTGAAAATGTGCCATAAATATTTGATTTTTATTTCATTGTACAAGACTAACCTCATTGTAATAAGCGTTTGAGATAATGAAATTCGGCCGATTGTGAAACAATGGCCGCATAGATAATTGTTACAGAGTAAACAAGAAGGAAGACTTAATTAAAAAAAGAGAATGAAAGTAAAACGAAATAATTGTAATTAAAACTTTTAATTTACAATCACAGTTCCTCCGAACACAGAGCTAAAGTCACTCGTTAATAATCGTACACATCAAATAAAAATTTAAATAATACTGAGCATGAAAGTTCTATTGCAATCAATATATAGAATATTAATATCAATATTTAAAATATTAAAAAATTATGATACACTACAATATAAACCAAAAAAATATTTGATTTACTCGCGGATGCAGTAAAGCGACTTTATAGTATACTAGCTGAGTCCCGCCATGTTACCCGCGGTTATTGCCGTACCGCGAGTGACGCCGCGGGGCGAAGCTAGTCTAAAAAAAGAAGCCAAATAACTCCTTATATCATCAGCTACTTATCAGTGAAAGTCTCGTCAAAATCGGTCCAGCCGTTCCAGAGATTAGCCGGAACAAACAGATAGACAAAAATTGTAAAAAATGTTATTTTGGTGTACGTACCGCATATTCCTATGCATGTAGTAAAAAGCGGTTGTTTCAATATTCTAAACAGACACTCCAATTTTATTTATATGTATAGATTATATTATGTCAATCGTGAAGAGTTTATAAGAACACTTATATACATTAATAGTGATAATAATTGATAAATATCTGCAGTTTATTTATAGAGGAAAAGGTAACACCATTAAAACATTTAGCAACAGTACTTTTCTTCTCATATGAAAATAAATAGCAATTAAATAATCTGGCAGAAATCCCACGATCAAATCGCCCTAAAATAGAATTTCCTATACATGAAAACCAAAGACTGATTTAGATACTTTTTTTTTATATACAGATTATATAGTAAACATAGAGCCAAAGTAAACAAACCTATTGGCCACACTAATATTTGTCCGGAGTAGGAATTGTACCCTTGGCCTAACAGCTAACCGCTACACCACCAAGTTAATATTGAAACAAATATTTATTGAAATGGACGAATTTGTCTATTCACAAGCATCTTTAGAGGATGACGAAGAGGTCATAAGAAGTCCTAATGAAACTATAGTACTGGGCGATTAATATTGCACATTGACTGTTGGAAAGAGACACTCGACTAATGTCGGCTTCGCATAGCGGTGTCTCTGTCTCTCTGTTGCTCAAGTGCGCTAGAGTGCCGTCCTCACAGACACCGGATTGATTGTGTTTCAATGCAATATTTATTATCCGCTACTATAAACCAACTATTACATACTTTATATATTTATAATTAAAACTGATTTTAATCTTTATTTCCTTAATCTTTCCTTATCTTTCCTTAACAGCTCATTATTTTTGTTGTAAGATTAAATAAATATAAATAATATAAATTTTTTTTTTAGGAAAACTGAACTCCATACGAATATAGTGATTTTTTATGTACGGAAGGAATAAGGAATGTATGCTTTATTTATTTATGTAATCGTAAAACGATTTTAAAGGATTTGTTAATATTTAAATACAGATTTTTAAAAAGTCGTTCTCAAACGCTGCCTCACATCAACGTAAAAACGAACATGTTAATCGAAACATTAATCGATATTTAGTTTTCAAGGTCAGCCGATTAGTTTCGTGTTCTATTTTATTTATCGACTGAGAACAAACAGGAGATTGTAGCCGCCAATCAACATCTTTTAAAGCTTAAAATTATTTACAAGATACTGCACATATTATATATATTACACACAAATTATTTACACTCAGCCTATTGCAACATTTTATTAAAAAATATTATTTTTTTCAATTACTAATCTTAAAGTTTAAAACAAAAACTAACTGAATCAATTTCAGCTAACACAAATCGAAATTCCGATTATTATCGATTCAACTTCCAGACTTCCAGACCCTTTATTCAGTGTACTGGATTTTACATGTGAACACACTGTCTAACAACTTTTGGGATCACTACTTCACAAGAGCACATAAAGACACTCCAGCTCGGAGATCTTGACAGCTGGTCCACAGTTACCAAGCACCATTTATTTGCCGCGCGTTCAGGCGCTTCAAGGTGAAATGAGTCTTATGCTCTATCAATAGGGTCGGGAATGACACAACTAATAGTCCGGGTGCAGACGTTGAGTGGTCGCGCTACCTGAACACGTCCCTGATGCCGTGCAGCAGCAGCGGCACGAGCGGGTCGTCGTGTCGGTAGCCGGCCGCGCGCACGTGGTGGGACACGCTCGATATCAACTGCAAGCAAACAGTCGCAGGCTAGAAACGTCTAGAACAGTGTGTTTGGTGCGAGTTTTTTAACGTTCTCGATAGCGTAAAAGTTAACCCAATTTTGTATGGAGTTGGAACAGCGCCCCTAGCGGCAAACGTACGCAAACGATCCCATTCGATACAAATATGAGCTAACTTTTACGCTATCGAGAACGTTAAAAAACTCGCACTAAGCGCACAGATATCGGCAAAATTAACTCTACAAACTACTTACTACACTATAACTATTGTTATAAGCCGCGCCAATAGTGAAACGAATCTAAAATGGCGGCGGCGATCATGCGCTCTCACTCTAAACTATTGCTGTCCTTAGTCGCACACGGCGCGTACTGCACGCAAAAAATAATATCAGTTCTGACTTTCTTGTTGAGTTCGAGTTTTTTCACTTTCGAGTTAGATGACTGACAGCAAAAGTGCATGCATGCAAAAAAAAACTTCTTCAGTAATTTAATGAAGTAAACTTAATAGAAGTTCAGTATTACAAAGATCAATTTGTTTTATGCTAATCTTTAATAACAAAGAACCCATTCCGACAGGAGCCCTCTTCTTCGATATAGCGAAGGCGTTCGACAAAGTCTGGCACAACGGTTTGATATACAAACTGTATAACATGGGAGTGCCAGACAGACTCGTGCTCATCATACGAGACTACTTGTCGAACCGTTCGTTCCGATATCGAGTCGAGGGAACGCGTTCCCGGCCCCGTCACGTCACAGCCGGAGTCCCGCAAGGCTCCGCCCTCTCCCCGTTACTATTCAGTTTGTATATCAACGATATACCCCGGTCTCCGGAGACCCATCTGGCGCTCTTCGCCGATGACACCGCCATCTACTACTCGTGTAGGAAGAAGGCGTTGCTTCATCGACGACTTCAGACCGCAGCTACCACCATGGGACAGTGGTTCCGGAAGTGGCGCATCGACATTAACCCCACGAAAAGCACAGCGGTGCTCTTCAAAAGGGGTCGCCCTCCGAACACCACGCTGAGCATCCCTCTCCCGACTAGGCGCGTCAACACCCCCGCCCCCGCCGTTCGCCCAATCACGATGTTCGACCAGCCCATACCGTGGGCCCCGAAGGTCAAATATTTAGGCGTCACCCTCGACAGTAGGATGACATTCCGCCCCCACATCAAGACGGTACGCGA